AGAAATCAGATCCTTAGGAGAAAGGTGCCTGCAACACCACGGGAAGTGTGTGTAGTGAAGATTCCTCAGTCCTTTCCAAAGAGACCTAGAGCCATTCACTCAAGTAACCAGACGCTGGGGATAGGGGATCCCCACACACTTTGAAGATTGTTGGGCACAGGATTCAAGCTGCACCAGGAATGTGGATCACTGATCCCAGCTGTGTGTAGTGGGGCTGGGGCACTGAGGGTGATGGCTGCTAAGCAAAATGCTGAACTTCATCATCTCTTTCTTCACCAAACACTCCCTGGACACTGCAAGTGCTCGACTAGTCTCAAGCTCCAAAATTGTTGCTTCTGACAGTTCATGCCAGCTCAATAGTTGTTCTGGTGGAAGGACTGATTCCTAGAGCTTCCTATCTATCATCTGTGACATTAGCGTGTAGACTTACTTAATATACAAGTGTAAGGATGTCACTTCTGAGATTATAAGACGACTGTGACTTCTGTCTTGGGCTTCTTTTTTTAATTTTTATTGTTATTTGGGTGGAAAGTTTACAGAGCACAATCATTTTCCCTACAGCAGCAGTTCATATACATTTTGTCTGACATTGACTGCAATTCCCCACGATGTAAGGTCTCTTCCTCCCTATAGTTACCTCTTCCCTGTCTCCTTCCCTTCCATGCACTCCCCCGCCCCCAGCTGTCTCTCTGTGCACACACTACCCTCGTTCTCCCATGATTGATCGCTCCAAGTAGTTTATCTACCTGATATAATTGTTCATTCAGCCCATATGCCTATAATTTGGCTGGAAGCCACAGGAGTGAGTTCAGTTCCAGACCTGAAGGTAGCTAGGGCCATACTCTCAGGGGTCTCACCAGGCTCTATTAGACCAGTAAACCTGTTTTTTTTTTTTTAACCCATGATTTTGAGTTTTGTTGGTGCTCTGCTTTCTGACCACTCATGTGGGGCCAGCTGCAGGTGGCAAGGGACCGAGGCCTTCCAATCACCACAGCAAGCTTGGAAGTGGATTTCCCCCATTCGTGCATTTAAATGAGACTACAGCCTTGGCCCAAGAGCTTAAGAGCAAACTTGTAGGAGACCTTGGGCCAGAGGTTCAAGTTAAGCTCTATTTGTATTCCTCACAGATATGTTTGTTTTAAGCTACCAAGTTTTGGGGTAAAATGGTACACAGCGATAGATACATAACTAATAGTGATGGATCACCTTTCCAGGGGTCAAGGGGTGAAATTAAGTGGCTACCACTTTCAGTGACCCAGCTGGGTCATTTGTGCTTCTTATCCCTGCAACTCTCAATTCTGTGAGTTTTAGAGGTTCCAGCTCCCAGAAGAGGAATGCATCCACAGAAACTTGAAGATTCATTAAACTTGAAGCTTTAGTTTCCACTCAGTCACTTTGGACTCATCCTGTCAAAAAATCAGCAAGAAAGGAAAAGACTTTTACCTTAAGGCAGAACTTGACTCTAGTCATCAAAGATAGGGCTGTTCTTAATGACAGGGCTGGAAGAATGTGTTTTGGCACCTAGGTAATCCAAGGCGGCATCTCTTGGTACAGCTTGGCCAGTATTCACTGGAAATAAAGTGTGGCCATCAGTCTTAAATGGGCATGGTTTCATGTACAAAGGGCCCAAGTCCCCTCAGTATTCTGAGGGGACATATATAGTGACAATATAACTTTATATGCATGCAAAACTAGACAATGAAAAAGGAAAACAGAATCAATGCCTTTGAATTGTGGTGTTGGAGAGCACTGAATATACCATGGGCTGCCATAACAAATCAGTCTTAACAACCAGAATGCTCCTTAGCAGCAACGATGATGAGACTTCAATTCGGCTTACTTTGGAAATCATCAGGAAAGACCAAGCAATAGGAAAGGACATCATGTTTGCTAGTGGGTCATGAAAACTAGAGAATCCCATAAGGAGAGGGGTTGATACAATAGCTGCCACAAAGGACTCAAACATACAATGACAGGGCAGTGTTTCGTTGCTATACATAAGGTCAGCATGGGTTGGAGCTGACTCGATTTCAACAAACTACAGAAACACTGTCCCTGAACCAAGACTTAATTCAACTGGGACCACAGGGTCTGCTAAGTTCCCTTTCTCTAGTCAACTACACCACCAGAGCTCCTTTGGTGGAGACTGTTGTCATGTGCCGTTGAGTCGGACCCGACTCATAGCAACCCCTCCTGAGTTGCCCAGGCCGTATCACTATGGAAGTAGATTGCCCAACCTTCTGCTTCTCGGAAGGAAGGTTGGGATATCTACTTCCGTAGTGATACGGCCTCAGCAACCCAAGGAGGGGTCGCTATGAGTCGGGTCTGACTCAATGGCACACAACAACAAAAAGGAAGTCTCCACCAAAGGAGCCCTGGTGGTGTAGTGGTTAAGGCATTTGGCTGTTAACCAAAAGGTCAGTCAGTGGTTTGAACCCACCAGCCACCCTGCATAAGAAAGATAAGGCAGTCTGCTTCTGTAAAGATTTATAGCCTTGCAAACACAATGGGGACTGTTATGAGTAGGAAATGACTCAATGTAAGTGAGTTTGGTTAGGTTTGGTTCACCAAGGTCTCTGAGTGGCACAAGTAGGTTGTGATAAATTAACTTAAAGGTTGGCAGTCTGAACCTACCCAGAAGCCATGTGGAAGAAAGGTCTAGCCATCTACTTCTGTAAAAATTACAGCCAAGGAAACTCTATGCAACAGTTCTAGTCTAACAAATGGGGTTGCCAAGAGTTGGAACCAACTTGATAGCATTTTTTTTTTTAAAGTCTCCATTAAACACCAATGCATTTTGGGACTGTCTTTTTAGCTCAAATGAGGGAACTGTTGACTTCTGCTGCTTTTGTTGCTAAGAATCAACCTAGTAAGAGTCAAATTGAAAAATGATTCTACTACTTAATTAGCTAACATGTAAAGAAATACCAGATCAGAAACACCTTGGAAAGCTTTGGACAATCATACTTAGAAAAGTTTAGCATTTTACATAGATTGATTGGAGGGAGGGAGAACACCTAGACTGGAAGATGGCTCGAAGCATCAAGGAAACAGAAGCCACATTAGTGATGAAAGAAGCCCTGGTGGCACAGTGGTTAAAGTGCTTGGTTGCCAATCTAAAGGTCAGTGGTTCAAACCCACCAGCCACGTCATGGGAGAAGGATGTGGCAATTTGCTTCGTAAAGATTTACAGCCTAGGAAATTCTATAGGGTTGCTATGAGTTGGAACTGATAGCACATAACAACAACAATAACCACAAAAGCATAATATACTCTTTGTTACTTTTTTTTAGTACATGACAGACATTCTGGCTTCAGGTTTAAAGAATGGATTAGACACTCCAGGACTCATTATTTAGAGAATACTTTATTAGTTTCTGTAATCAAACCCATGTAGATAAGACCTTACATATTTAATACAGTGCGTTACCCCTGTACAAATGGAAAAAAAATTAAGTTTAACGTTTCTAGACCAATATGGCTGTTAATTTCTGTACAATGCCAACTCAACACGGTACAACTGGGATACTTTTTCCAAAG